GGTCAGTCCGCCCCTGCTTGTCTCTAAATACCACCCAAACCGTACCCTCAGCTCCTCGCAAGACCTACTCTCTAGCTCCCTTGTCTCCTCCTCTCATGCTCGTCTGCTTGATTTCTCAAGTTCCATCCTCTGAAACTCCCTACCCCAAGCTATCAAGCTATCGCCTACTCTGCTCACTTTTAGGCGATCTCTGAAAACCTATCTCTTCAGGGAAGCCTACCCCGACCCCGGCTAATACTGGAATCCTCTACTCTTCCATCCACTTCATCCCCTACAGCTAATTACCTCTTGTACCACTATCCCCTCCCTCCTAGATTGTAATCTCCAAGGATCAGGGCCCTCTAATCCCTCTTGTATTGAACTGTATTGTCACTGTACTGTCTCTCTCTAAAATGTAAAGCACTGAGCAAACTGTCGCCCCTATATAAGTCCTGTATAATAATAATAATCAGATATGTGCATAAATCTTTCAAGGGAATGGCAACATTTTCAGTAATAGAAGAAAAGAGAAATACCTTTCACAGCACAGTATTCCATGATATGATGGAGTACTTCCAGAACTCAGTTGTTTAATTACCTCTTAGATGAAGTTTTCAGGAAAATAAAGCACAGTGTACATTTCAAACCTCCCAACTGTCTATTATCCAAAGGGCTGCTCATTAAAGATATGTATTTATATGTTTGCTGTATTGTTGTGATGTACACATATGATTCTCGAGAGACCGTCATCCATATTATTCTTAGAACTGCATGTTTTTGAGTCAATTAAAATTAATTTGCACAATTCACCACATATACATCTTCCCTAATCAATTGGGAAAAAAATTTTCTCCAACCAATAAGCCCACATACCTGGGAAAGAATATTCACCATCACCTACAAAGCCTCGAAATGCAGTTCTCATTGGGAAACATACCTGAAAATCCTACATCAATGGTACCTAACCCCTGTAAAACTGTCTTTATACTACCCCCAACACTCACATACCTGTTGGAGACAATGCGGAGAAACAGGTTCACTTCTTCACCTACTCTGGACATGTAAGTCCCTCAGATCCTACTGGAACAAAGTTTTCCAGATAATCTCTTCAATTACAAGAACACCAGTAACCCCCAATCCCGCTTTGGCCCTCCTCCATATCGGAATAGACAAATTTCCCACAGATTCATTATTATTCACTTTCTAGCAGCCGCAAAAATCAACATCACTAAACTATGGCCATCCATCAATACTCCCTCTCTATCACGTCTCATATCTGACATAAACCTTCAATGTGAGATGGAAAAAAGGACAGCCTTCAACAACTCCTCCTACCACAAATTTAAAGTTTAGTGGCCTCGATGGTTAAGAAACCCTAATTGCTCAATAAACTGATTACTATTGGATACTCCCACAGTATGATCCTTCTTTATCGAAATGGTGCCTCCCCTCTTTCCCCCCCCCCCCCCCTTATCTATACCATACTACTTACCAATACGGTTCACAACATACTGAGTATACCTCTCATGTAAATGTAACATAAATGTACAGGTTCCCCAGCCAACTGGTGGGGATCCCTCCTCTTCTTCTCCCCTTACACTGTACCTCTCAAATGTGAACCTTCCTATGCTAATGTTCGTATATCCTTATATGTTTGTTAAAATCTTTCAATAAAAAATATTTGAATATAAAATGAATTTGAATAACTCTTCAAGGCAAACTAGCGGATCGTATTCATGTAATCATCATTGCAGTTCTGCATTCAAAAGTTTTGTTACGTCTATGTGAGTGGTCAGTGTTTGGTGTTAAACTTAATTTTCTTGGTTTTCTGCTTCTTTCTTGCTATGGTATGTAGGAAATACATATTGTGTTTGATCTTTAGGAAGCAAAGGGCTGCAGTCAGCCTATCTTCAAGGGGGTTCGATGAGCACAGAATGTAAATTTCTTTGCCATGTGCTTTTGAGCATCCTCCAACATGCTGTGCTTGAGAGAATATGAATATTTAATAATCCAGCCAAACACCTACAGTAGTTTATGGGCTTGGTGATGTAGGATGGAAAGTGCTTTGCTGGCCCAGGGTTTGTAGGAAGAAGAGATCTCTGCTCCGGAGAGGGGTTCCTGAAGATGTTATCTGCTGGAGGATAAGAGTGTCTGGTCTAGAGATGGTGTCGGAACACTAGTGGCGATTCGCATGCGCCAGTACACAGAAACGGAATCCCTGCCAGTAAGCTGCCTGGGCACACACGTAGGTGCATCAACATGTGCATGCCTGAGAGAACTGGTGCAAGCATCCTATTTAAAGGATGGAATAGTGACCATTAATAACTGGATGATCTTCAACTTCCTGTGATCCTTCTTCCTGTGCTACTTGGTAACCCTAATGTTTGACTACCTATTGCAGACTCATCACTGGATATCTTCTTGACTCTCTCCTAATCAGGACCTTGACTTGCTGCTTGGCTTTGCTCCTGCCTAATCTCTCATGTATAACCCAGTTTGCCTGAAGACTCTGCTTCTGTTATCAGCTCCTCATCTTTGCATGACCCCAGTTTGTTACTGGACCCTGCTCCTGTTACTACTGCCTGTCTGTGTATGACCCTGGCCTGGCTGCTGACCACATCATCTCTTCCAGTCATCTGACCATGTATGACCTTGGTTCAGCTTCCAGACTATGTCTCACTGCCTCCTAGTACCAGATCCTGGCTTTCCTACCTACCAGATCTGCCTTCCAGGTCCTACGCTTAACTTCCATGCTACCAGTGCATGGGCTGCCTACCACAGTTGATTGTGAGGTGTCATTATGATGTATCTATTAGCATCTCTGCAGACCATCTCCACTGATTATAATCTGCCATCCGGGTCCCCAGCACCCATGCTACCCTGAGCCTCACACTCATCACACTCTTGTTCTCACATTCAGGGGTGTTTGGACCAGAGCCACAAGGGAAGCCCTCTCATCATTTTGACCTCGGGCAAGGTACATAACAGTAAGCAAGTAGGACTGTCCCCCAAAAGAAGTGACTGGATGACGGAGAAGCCCCACATAAGTTTTCTCAGCTATACTGACTTGGAATACCATGTTGCAGACTGCTTATAATTTTTATTTTTTTTCAGTTCAAAGTATGAAAAAGCTGCCTTCTGGTAAATTATTTAAATTTGTGTCTTACTTGAAAATTCATAACAATAAGAGGACTTTGGCTCCATTCATTGTTATGGGTAAGCCCTGATCTGCTGGACCATTGGAGGCCACCATATGTCCTACTAATAGAAATGAATGGGTCTCAGTGGGCGTGTGCACTGAGAGGAAGCCCTGGTGAGGATATTTTTTCTAGAAAGGATGTATGGTGCTCTTGCTGGTTCTGAGGCTAGGCATGGTCACATAAAAAAGGTCTCTAGACTAGGGAAGAAAAAAAGTCCACTCATAGAGGTCCTTTGTGCCATAGATACCATTAGCTATTAAGCTCCACCCAAAAGGGGAAGTTCTGTTTTAAGCCTTTGTCCCCTGCTCCCCATTAAGGAGCACGTTTGGGGAGTGGGGGGGAGTGGGTACCCAAATTTGACAGATACCCACTCCCACTTCCACTGTGATCGCCTAGGCAATCGGAAGTAGAAGTTGTTCTCCCCCCCTCCCTTCCCCATAGTCTTCTGGGACATGTGACAGGTCCTAGAAGACTGCGGGGCCATTCACAAAGTGCAGCGCTACTCACGCATGCACAGTGGGCAGTGGGCACCCGGCTGTGAAGCCGCAAGCTGTCACAGCCGGGTGCCCACACTGAAGATGCAGGCACCAAGGAGAGAAGACGGTCGGTGAAACCAGCGGTGGTGAGGACACCCCTTGACCTAGGGACAGGTAAGTGTCTGTATTTTAAAAGTAAGCAGCTACAGTTTTTGTAGCTCCAGACTTTTTTTTTTAGGTGGAACTCTGATGTAAAGCTTAGATGCCCAGACCAAATGTAGCAGCATTAGTTTTAACTTGATAGAAACTCTAAAAAATAAAGTTGACTTTGTGCTAGTCTGGCAAGAGTATCATCCCCACAGCCGTAGTCAATCTGTCCAACCACCTAGTAGTCGGTATCTTTCTTCACGAAGAAATGAAAAATTCGATTCGACTGATTCGGCGAATTCGTGGACAATATTCGATTCGAGTCGAATAAATTCGCTGTGAATTTAACTTAAAAAAGGGTGTTTCTAGGCTTCAGAGAGACTTAATATTAGTGCAGAACACTGTACCTTTAATTTAAATGCCCTTGGAGTCTGCTGGGGAAGAGAAATAATACTGTCTGTCAGTATGACATGCAGATGAGTGCCGTCGATCTTAGAATCACTGCACACTTCACTCCTTTGGCCAGTCACGGGGCCAAAACCAGTGTTTGGAGCCACAGTGTGGCGGTGGAGCAGCAGCAATGGGAGGCCATACAGCAACCTATGACAAAATGGAAACCAGCAGGAGCGTGAGGAGACCTGAAAGTGGCACATGGCAGAGTGGGAGCAATGGGAGGCGGTACAGGGACCCAGGTCACACTGTGGGCCCAGCAGCAGCGTGACCAGGCGGTACGGGGGCCCATGGCCGATATGGGGCTTGGTGGCACCTATGGAAGGCCTGTAATCTGCCAGCAACCTATGACAAAATGGACAACCGCAGGAGTGTGAGGAGATTTCAAAGTGGCACATGGCAGAGTGGAAGCAATGGGAGGCCGTACAGGGACCCAGGTCACACTGTGGGCCCAGCAGCAGCGTGACCAGGAGGTACGGGGGCCCATGGCCGATATGGGGCCTGGCGGCACCTATGGGAGGCCGCTAATCTGCCAGCAACCTATGACAAAATGGACAACCGCAGGAGTGTGAAGAGATTTCAAAGTGGCACATGGCAGAGTGGAAGCAATGGGAGGCCGTACAGGGACCCAGGTCACACTGTGGGCCCAGCAGCAGCGTGACCAGGCGGTACGGGGGCCCATGCCGATATGGGGCCTGGCGGCACCTATGGGAGGCCGCTAATCTGCCAGCAACCTATGACAAAATGGAAAACCGCAGGAGTGTAAGGAGACCTCAAAGTGGCACATGGCAGAGTGGTAAGCAATGGGAGGCCGTACAGGGACCCAGGTCACACTGTGGGCTCAGCAGCAGCGTGACCAGGAGGTACGGGGGCCCATGGCCGATATGGGGCCTGGCGGCACCAATGGAAGGCCTGTAATCTGCCAGCAACCTATGACAAAATGGACAACCGCAGGAGTGTGAGGAGATTTCAAAGTGGCACATGGCAGCAGAGTGGAAGCAATGGGAGGCCGTACAGGGACCCAGGTCACACTGTGGGCCCAGCAGCAGCGTGACCAGGAGGTACGGGGGCCCATGGCCGATATGGGGCCTGGTGGCACCTATGGAGGCCTGTAATCTGCCAGCAACCTATGACAAAATGGACAACCGCAGGAGTGTGAGGAGATTTCAAAGTGGCACATGGCAGAGTGGCGATGGGACAAGCAATGGGGAGGCCGTACAGGGACCCAGGTCACACTGTGGGCTCAGCAGCAGCGTGACCAGGAGGTATATACGGGGCCCATGGCCGATATGGGGCCTGGCGGCAGCCTATGGGAGGCCCGCTAATCTGCCAGCAACCTATGACAAAATGGAACCCTGGGCAGGGCAGGCAGACCTGAAAGTATCTTTACACGTTTTTCACAGGCAGAATGTGGCGCTGCATAGCAGCAGCTGTAGTCCAGGCCGTAAGGGGCCCCATGGCCACGCTTGACTTTCTGGCAGCATAGGACAGGCGGTTTATCGGGGCCCATGCAGATTAGGGGCCTGGCAGCAGCTATGTGGAGGCCCGTAATCTGCCTGCACCCTATGTCAAAAAATTAAAAACCACAGTGTGAGAGACCTGAAAGTGGCACATGGCAGCAGAGTGTGGCTGATGTATACAGCAGCAATAATATTGGCCGTACAGGGATCAAGTGAACAACTAATAAATCAATAACTGGCTTAAGCAAATGAGGAGGCGGTATTTAGATCGCCCAGGTACTTTTTATGGCAGGGGCCTGGGCATGGATGCTAATGAGGCCCGTAATCTACCCAGGCACCCTATGTCCAAAAAAATTAAACACACCAGCAGTGTGAAGAGACCTGAAAATGGCAAATGGCAGCAGATGTGTGGCGATGGAAAGCAGCAATGGGAGGCCGTACAGGGACCCATGAAGACTCTGGAATAGCAGCAGCATGAGGAGGCTTGATATAGGGGCCCATGGCAGATTAGGGGCCTGGCAGCAGCTATGTGGCCCGTAATCTGCCTGCACCCTATTAAAAAAAAAAAAAAAAAACCAGCAGTGTAAGGAGACCTGAAAATGGCACATGGGAGAGATTATGGCGAGGCCGTGGACAGCACCCATACTCCAAAATGGGATGCCGTACATGTGTGGACCCAAGTGGCACATGGAGCGTGGTAAGTCTATGTTCAGCAGCATGAGAGCTCCTCTCCAGGGGCCTCCTCTCCTTTCTCCTCAAGCAGCTTTTGCCCTGCATGCCTATGGGCCCATGCAGCTGGACTCACAGCACATGAGCAATGGGAGGCCCTATCTGCCTGGCAGCAGCGTGACCAGGCGGTACGGGGGCCCATGGCCGATATGGGGCCTGGCGGCAGCTATGGAGGCCCGTAATCTGCCAGCACCCTATGTCAAAAAAATGGACACACACCAGCAGTGTGAAGAGACCTGAAAGTGGCACATGGCAGCAGAGTGTGGCGATGGAGACAGCAGCAATGGGAGGCCGTACAGGGACCCATGAGAGACTCTGGACTTGGCAGCAGCATGAGGAGGCGGTTATATACTCGGGGGCCCATGGCAGATAGGGGCCTGATGGCAGCAGCTATGGAGAGGCCTAGCAGGGACCCGTAATCTGCCTGCACCCTATGTCAAAAAATTTAAACACCAGCAGTGTGAAGAGACCTGAAAGTGGCAGCAGTGTGGCGATGAGGCAGCAGCAATGGGAGGCCGTACAGGGACCCATCACTGGACTTGGCAGCACAGAGGAGGCGAGTACAGGGACCCATGAACACACACAGCACCATGGCAGGGCTGTTTGCAGGAGGACCTGGATTTATTTACACAAACGTTACTTTTGCATGAGGAGGCCATGTAGTGGGGCCCATGAAGCATGGCATTGGGGCAATTTTACTAAGGCAGCACACTATGGAGGCCCGTAATCTGCCTGCACCCTATGTCAAAAAATGGCCACAGCAGCAGCAGTGTGAGAGACCTGAAAGTGGCACATGGCAGAGTGTGGCGATGAGAGCAGCAATGGGAGGCCGTACAGGGGATGAGAGACTCTGCACTGTGGGACCAGCAGCAGCTTACCAGGCCAGGCGGTATACGGGGGCCCATGGCAGATTAGGGGCCTGGCAGCAGCATTCCTATGTGAGCCCTAATCTGCCAGCAACCCTATGTCAAAAAATGGACAACACACCAGCAGTGTTTAAGAGACCTGAAAGTGGCACATGGCAGAGTGAGGCGAATGGAGGCAGCAATATTAATTGAAGAGCAGCACTGTGAGGACCATCATGCATGCAAGGACTATGCAAAATGAAGGGGTATATATGGCCCTATAGAGATTATTGGGGCCTGGCAGCATATATGGCGATGGGACAGCAGCAAACCCGTACCCATGAATGACAATAAACACACCAGCACTGTGAAGAGACCTGAAAGTGGCACATGGCAGCAGATTTGGCGATGGGACAGCAGCGGTACATGGGAGGCCGGACCCATGAGACTCTGGGACCTTGGCAGCAGCATGTGAGGAGGCGGTATATAGGGGCCCATGGCAGATTAGGGGCCTGGCAGCAGCTATGTGAGGCCCGTAATCTGCCTGCACCCTATGTCAAACCGGCACACACCAGCAGTGTGAAGGCTGAGACCTGAAAGTGGCACATGGCAGAGTGTGGCTGGATGGAGACAGCAGCAATGGGAGGCCGTACAGGGACCCATGAGAGACTCTGGACTTGCAGCAGCAGCATGAGGAGGCGGTATACGGGGGCCCATGGCAGATAGGGGCCCTGGCAGCAGCTATGTGAGGCCCGTAATCTGCCAGCACCCTATGTCAAAAAATGACAACACACCAGCAGTGTGAGGAGACCTGAAAGTGGCACATGGCAGCAGAGTGTGGCTGTGATGGCCTTTAGCTGCAGCAATGGAGGCGGTCTACATATGTAGGGTTGACCCATTACAGACTCTGGACTTGGCAGCAGCATGAGGGCGGTATACGGGGGCCCATGGCAGATTAGGGGCCTGGGCAGCATATGAGGCCCGTAATCTGCCAGCACCCTATGTCAAAAAATTAAACACACCACCAGCAGTGTGAAGAGACCTGAAAGTGGCACATGGCAGCAGAGTGTGGCGATGGAGACAGCAGCAATGGGAGGCCGTACAGGGACCCATGAGAGACTCTGGACTTGGCAGCAGCATGAGGAGGCGGTATAGGGGCCCATGGCAGATTAGGGGCCTGGCAGCAGCTATATGTGAGGCCCGTAATCTGCCTGCACCCTATGTCAAAAAATTAAAACACACCAGCAGTGTGAAGAGACCTGAAAGTGGCACATGGCAGCAGAGTGTGGCGATGGAGACAGCAGCAATGGGAGGCCGTACAGGGACCCATGAGAGACTCTAGACTTGGCAGCAGCATGAGGAGGCGGTATATAGGGGCCCATGGCAGATTAGGGGCCTGGCAGCAGCTATGTGAGGCCCGTAATCTGCCTGCACCCTATGTCAAAAAAAAATTAAAACACACCAGCAGTGTGAAGAGACCTGAAAGTGGCACATGGCAGCAGAGTGTGGCGATGGAGACAGCAGCAATGGGAGGCCGTACAGGGACCCATGAGAGACTCTGGACTTGGCAGCAGCATGAGGAGGCGGTATATATAGGGGCCCATGGCAGATTAGGGGCCTGGCAGCAGCTATGTGAGGCCCGTAATCTGCCTGCACCCTATGTCAAAAAATAAAACACACCAGCAGTGTGAAGAGACCTGAAAGTGGCACATGGCAGCAGAGTGTGGCGATGGAGACAGCAGCAATGGGAGGCCGTACAGGGACCCATGAGAGACTCTGGACTTGGCAGCAGCATGAGGAGGCGGTATATAGGGGCCCATGGCAGATTAGGGGCCTGGCAGCAGCTATGTGAGGCCCCCGTAATCTGCCTGCACCCTATGTCAAAAAATTAAACACACCAGCAGTGTGAAGAGACCTGAAAGTGGCACATGGCAGCAGAGTGTGGCGATGGAGACAGCAGCAATGGGAGGCCGTACAGGGACCCATGAGAGACTCTAGACTTGGCAGCAGCATGAGGAGGCGGCGGTATATAGGGGCCCATGGCAGATTAGGGGCCTGGCAGCAGCTATGTGAGGCCCGTAATCTGCCTGCACCCTATGTCAAAAAAAAAAACACACCAGCAGTGTGAAGAGACCTGAAAGTGGCACATGGCAGCAGAGTGTGGCGATGGAGACAGCAGCAATGGGAGGCCGTACAGGGACCCATGAGAGACTCTAGACTTGGCAGCAGCATGAGGAGGCGGTATATAGGGGCCCATGGCAGATTAGGGGCCTGGCAGCAGCTATGTGAGGCCCGTAATCTGCCTGCACCCTATGTCAAAAAATTTAAAATTAAACACACCAGCAGTGTGAAGAGACCTGAAAGTGGCACATGGCAGCAGAGTGTGGCGATGGAGACAGCAGCAATGGGAGGCCGTACAGGGACCCATGAGAGACTCTAGACTTGGCAGCAGCATGAGGAGGCGGTATATAGGGGCCCATGGCAGATTAGGGGCCTGGCAGCAGCTATGTGAGGCCCGTAATCTGCCTGCACCCTATGTCAAAAAATTAAACACACCAGCAGTGTGAAGAGACCTGAAAGTGGCACATGGCAGCAGAGTGTGGCGATGGAGACAGCAGCAATGGGGGAGGCCGTACAGGGACCCATGAGAGACTCTAGACTTGGCAGCAGCATGAGGAGGCGGTATATAGGGGCCCATGGCAGATTAGGGGCCTGGCAGCAGCTATGTGAGGCCCGTAATCTGCCTGCACCCTATGTCAAAAAATTAAACACACCAGCAGTGTGAAGAGACCTGAAAGTGGCACATGGCAGCAGAGTGTGGCGATGGGAGACAGCAGCAATGGGAGGCCGTACAGGGACCCATGAGAGACTCTAGAGACTTGGCAGCAGCATGAGGAGGCGGTATATAGGGGCCCATGGCAGATTAGGGGCCTGGCAGCAGCTATGTGAGGCCCGTAATCTGCCTGCACCCTATGTCAAAAAATTTAAACACACCAGCAGTGTGAAGAGACCTGAAAGTGGCACATGGCAGCAGAGTGGCGATGGAGACAGCAGCAATGGGAGGCCGTACAGGGACCCATGAGAGACTCTAGACTTGGCAGCAGCATGAGGAGGCGGTATATAGGGGCCCATGGCAGATTAGGGGCCTGGCAGCAGCTATGTGAGGCCCGTAATCTGCCTGCACCCTATGTCAAAAAATTTAAACACACCAGCAG